GTGCACTGTGGCAAGCTCGTCTGGACTAAGTGAGAAGCAGGCGGTTGTGGTGATGAGATAGGAGCTCGGAATGCTTCCTGGTACCAAGACTGTCATAAGTGGAATTGGGGTCTGAAAAAGTGACAGCAAAATTCAGCGTTCCTTTGACAACCACTCAGAAAATAGAATGTGAGGAAGCAGGAGGAAGGGAAGGTGTGGGGCCAGCCATGAGAATGCACCCCGCTGCTCCACAGATGCCTAGAAATGCTGCTCACTTATAGGGCACAGGTGAGGGGAAGTCTGGACTGGTGGCAGTAGTGCTGCCAAGCCATGTAGCCTGCTCTCTCAAGGGTGAATGTTCTTGCATAAGTAGTGGGGAAGATTATTCCCTAGTTTTTATAGGCCCCATTTGTCCTAGACACAGATTTTAATGTTCTCAGGTGATCGCTTGCTTGATTGTCTGTGTAAAAGATCAGCAATCCTTTTTTTTTTTCTGGAAAGGTCTAGGCAGTAAATATTTTAGGCTTGGCAGCCCATATGGTCTCTGTCACAGCTACTCATCTCTGTGGTTGTGGTGTGAAAGCAGCCATAGAAATGGGTAATAAAGGAGTGGGGCTGAGTTCCAAAGTACTTTTATGAGAACTGAAAATTGCATTTTATATAATTGTTGACATGTCCCAAAATATTGTTACTTTTTTGAATTCTTTCACATTCGTGGCTCATGAGCTGTCTGACAAGAGACGACAGGCAGGAATTGGTGGATGGGCCATGGTTGCCCAAACCCTGTGTCCAAATCATGGCATTGTACAAGCAGGAGGGATCTCTGACCCTCTCTTTTTTTCCTCTTTCCTTCTTTTCAGTTTCTCATTGTGCTGATTTGGAAACCAGAAATCGAAAGCTCTGGGAAGTGAACTCTTTCTGACTTAACCTGTTAGTGGCAGTGTTAGGATAAAATTTCAGGTCTCAAGGAGCATTTCTTAGAGCCCAGATCAGACTGAATGCTGCTTTTGTGATTGCAGAAGGCATACCATCCTCTGGTACACTAGCTCCTTAGCGTCACCCTGAATCTGAAACTTAGTTCTTCATAATGTCTTTTGTTCTATGATTCCTCAGTGCATCATTTGCTAATTTGCGCCAGTTATTCTGTTTAACACAACTGAGATATAGACATAAGCAAAGTTCCTACCCTTTAGGAACTCACTTCTTCAGGGCCTGGTTTCGATAATCCAGACAAAGCTACTTAAATGTAGTTTTATCCTTAAAAGCAAAATCGGCTGCACTTATGTAAGTTACAATAATAATTAGAATTTAGGAAAAATCCATTCTTAAAACAAGAAGGCAAAGAGAATAAAAAATAAACATCCAAGTCACCCTCTGACTGTGCGTTGGTTTTAAAACAACAAGACTATTATTTGAAGTGAACACAAGGAAAATTTTGCTACCAAGCGAGTACAATTTCTAACAGGTGATACATCGACTCCTCTAATTCCAGACATTTCCGAAAGTGCCCTTACTACCTACATTACTTCCTTCTGTAAAGCTCTACTGATTAAGACTTTATCTTTTGTGGTTGGATTTTTGCTTTTGGAATTACAACCTGCTTTTCAAGTCACATTTTGTAAATTAGTTGAGGTATCTTGCTGAGTGATAAAGTCTGAGTCAAAAACTTCCTGAAAAGTGCCTCGTGAACTCGTGAGGCATCATGGCAAAGATCCCAATTGTTGGACTGAGGCAGAGAGGTAGAAAGAAGAACACAGACTTTAAGGTCTGACAGATGTAAGTATAGGTCCCACCTCCACCACGTATTAGATGTGTAATGTTAAATGAGCTACTATACCTCTTTGAGCCTCAGCTTTCCTCTCTGTAAAAAGAAGATGTTAAACCTTCCCTTGCACTATTGTTGTAGGGATTAGAGATGATGTCAATAAAAATGTTTCCAGCATGCTCGGTATTCAACGTACCTTGGATAGACTTATTTGGCCAGTTCACTGCAAAGGGTAATATACACGAGTAAGATTTTTTCTTTTCTTCAAAATAGACTTTTTGGGATTAAACTCTAAAAAAGTGTTAAATAAATGAATCAAGATCTTTTTCATTTATGTTGTTGAAGTATTTGCCTTCTTACGTTTGGTAATGTTAGGATTTTCCACAGAAGAAGTTGACACTTTCCTTCTTAATCATACTGGCAATACCATGTTTCAACACTAGTGACTATTTTCTTTTCGAAAAGTGTCATTTGTCTAGCTTCCCTTGAAAGATCAGCTAAGTGTCACATTATCCCTGCTTCTGCTAATCTTTCAAAATGCTCACCACCATAGTCATAACATTTTCTTCATGCTCAAGTTGATTTAAAAAATGTTCTAAAGACAGTGTTGCTGAATTTTTATTTGTTTAATAAAAATTAGGCTTTTAAATATAAAAATATAGATTTATTATAAAGCCTCTAGAAAGCAAAGAAAAATAGATTTGAAAAATACCTTGTTTAATCACATAAAGCTAGGCAGAGTTAAATCACTGTTTCCATTTTGGTACATTTTATTTTAATCTTTTCACTATTTTAATGTCCTTCTTTATATCCATAATGGTGATAACATGATGTATATATGAACATGTATATATTATATAAATATATAAAATACATAAATATATCTTTTAAAAATGGTATCTGTAGGCCGGGCGCGGTGGCTCAAGCCTGTAATCCCAGCACTTTGGGAGGCCGAGGCGGGTGGATCACGAGGTCAAGAGATCGAGACCATCCTGGTCAACATGGTGAAACCCCGTCTCTACTAAAAATACAAAAAATTAGCTGGGCTTGGTGGGGCGTGCCTGTAATCCCAGCTACTCAGGAGGCTGAGGCAGGAGAATTGCCTGAACCCAGGAGGCGGAGGTTGCGGTGAGCCAAGATCGCGCCATTGCACTCCAGCCTGGGAAACAAGAGCGAAACTCCGTCTCAAAAAATAAATAAATAAATAAATAATAAAAATGGTATCTGTTTATTTATTATATATAAATATATATCTAATGACTATATATCTACATATCTACTTCTATATTTATATATCTCCATGATAGAAGTTGGAAAATACTGAAAACTGTAGAGGAGTTTGGAGAAACAACCTATAATCTCATTATACAGAAATAATTTTCTTCCCTTTTGCTTCTCCACATTTTGGCTTAGATCAAATTTAGAAATGATTTTCTTAACGTTTTTGGTATTGTGTTTTTAGAGTATCAAGATGTTGCTGTATATTCTGATTTTTATGTATAGTTGTGACAGGAACACCCACAAAAATAATTGTTCTAGAAAAGAATTTGTTAACAAATATTTTCTTCCAGGAAGTGGTGTATTAGCGTTTTAAAAGAAACATTTCTGGACGTCAGAGTAGACATTGGGCTTATATCAACAGCTCAATCTTTTTTCAAATACGCTTTATTTTTAGGGCAGTGTAAAGTTAATAGTGAGGCATAGTGGAAAGTACAGAGAGTTCCTACATTCCCACCTCCCCAAATGCACAGCCTCCTCCACTATCAGCCTTCCTCACTAGAGAGGTACATTTGTTACAATGGATGAACCAACATTGACTTATCACTGTCACCCATAGTTTATAATTGACATTAGGGACCATTCTTGCTGTCGTATATTCAGTGAGTTTTGACAAGGGTGTAATGGCATGTGTCTACCATTATAGTAACACACAGAGTAGTTTCATTGCCCTAAACATCCTCTATGCTCTGCCCATTTATCCTTCCCCACTTTTCAACCCCCAGCAATCACTGAACGTTTTGATGTCTCTATAGTTTTGCCTTTTCCAGAATGTCATATAGTTGGATTCATATAGTAAGTGGTCATTTGAGATTGGTTTCTTTCACTTAGTAGTATGTATTTGAGTTTCCTCTATGTCTTTTAATGGCTTCATAGCTCACGTGCTTTTTTTCTGCAACAAAAGCCACATTCAAAGATTATTGCTTTCATTGCTGAATAATATTCCACTGTGTCGATGTAGAGGTTTGTTTATCCAGGCACTTACGAGTCTATAGTAACCAGTGTGGAGCCTGGGGAAGCCATAAATGGCCTGGTTGTGGCGAAGGCCTGGAGCCTATGTCGATAGGAGCCATGCAGGTTGGAGGCATTAGATCTTAGAGCCATAGGGGAAGGCCTGGAGCTTGGGTTGACAGGGTCTGTCTTATAGCCTGTGGCTATAGAAACCTGCCTGGTGTTGAGTTCACTGAATTGTGACTGGCATTGGAGTTGATGTTGAAGTCAGGTGTTACATTTGCTCTCCTCTCTGCACATACATAGTATCTCTTTCCATGCTGCACTACCCAGGTTTGGGGGGGGTAATGCAGATAATAGAAAACTCTCTTTTATACTCTATTTTATGCCGTTTTTCTTACTTTTCTACTCCACAAACGTGCTATAACCTCTCACCTGGATTCCTTGTCTCTTTTGAAGACACTTTGATGCACGGATGGCTGTTCTAATTGATGTTTCTGTGAAGGAATAAGTGCTGAAAAGTTCTGTTTTGCCATTTTGTCCATGGCATTCTTCTCTGTTAACTGAAAAAATATTTTTACTGAATAACATATTGTTAACAATTGTCAGACCCTTGGTTTAGCTCTGGAAGTTTCTCCTTTAGAGCAAGTTCCTTTCATAGTTCCCTATAGGAAGACTATAGTTGTAAAATGTTGGTAGAGATGATATTTTGTGTGTAGAATTAAGGACCGATTACACATAAATGTTTAGCGGACAGTAAACATTTGTGAGTAATCTGTTCTTACACACAAAAAGAAGGTCTATAGCTTTAGGAAAGGGAAAATTATCAAGGTTATTCAGACAATATAAAATGAGTTGAGAAAATTGAAGGGAATGTTTATACTTGAATGAGACCTCATGGAGAAAGACAAAATAAGGAAGCCATGGGAGAATATTTGCATTCTCGGAACCACAAAAGTGAGGAAAGCCAAGAGCACAGCTGGAGTTGCACCAGATCAAGTAGACATTCCATCAGAGCATGAACTGAGAATGCACCATTCCTAGTCACCTTGATAACAGCCCCATTTTCTGTTAATAATACTCTATGAGAAAAATCTTGCAAAAATAGTCAGAAAAGGCAGAGTCACATGCGGTTCAGTGTGTTCCACCTTGGCAGACGGTCTTAGGAGGAGTTTTGGAAGGATCGTGCTGCAGGCAATGGATGAGATAATGATGAGAAAGTTTCCAGCTCTGTATAAAAAGGCAAGCGAAATATATGCTTGTGAATTTTTGGCTGCTTTTTTATGCTGTATTTTCAGATCAATTTTATCCCAGTTAATGTGAATATAAACTCTGATTGTTATGGCTATCTCTCGTGGGGTGTCTATTATTTTGTCAGAAATTGTATCAGGAACTTTATATCAATCACTAAATTACACATTTCCAAGCTGCATATGAATTAGGTATTACTATGATCATTTTACAGATGAAGAAGATGAGACTCAGAGCAATACATAAGTTGCCCAAGGTCAGAGAGCAAGTAAGTACCAGAAATAAAAGCCAGATAAATCTAATTCCCATATCCTTGCTCTTTCAATGATGTTTCAGAGTTGATTACAAAAAGAATTGTTCTGTGTGCTCAGGATAATTTACTACCTACTAAATTTAACCATAGGACAGTCTTATAAACAGGGTAGAGTATGCAGTTAAGATAAAATTTGAGAGGAAAAAATTAAATTAAAATAGTACATAACCAATGATCAGAATATTCTCTCAGTATTGTAGAAATTTATGTAAGAATAAACTAGATACTGATAAAAAAGTCACATTCTTTATGCACAAATCTGGTAAGTAGCTACTGTTAAAGAGAGGATACTATTTACCTAGAAGAAAGTGGGGTTGTCAACCACTATATAACCATTCGTGGGGTGAATGTCTTTTTTATTTTAGGCCTCTGGCTGATGGATCCAAGAGGTAGATGCGTGATGTCAAAATATTCTCTTTTATAGGTAATTACAATTTACAATGGAAGATAAAGAGGCCACAAGGTAGTAGAGTTGAGTTATATTAACAGAAAACCTTGTTAGAGAAAAGAACCACCTCTCACTATCATGTTCAATGGCAAAGATTAATAGAAGGTACAGCAAAATGGACACACATGCGAGTATACCCACATTGATATTGGAAGTAACTTTTTTCTTATATACTATAAATCATATCCCAGAATATACTCATAATGTGTACACTTATTGGGATATTACAATCAACGTACAAAATATGTACCATATGTACATTGACTGTGATGTACATATGTGTACACAATACAGATGTACAAAAAATGTACATAATCTGTACAATATGTACATTTATATGTACATAATGTGTACACAGTAGGTATGTACATAATGTGTACAATATGTAAATATATTGTAATATTACAATGATTTCATATAATCACAGCAGCATATATAATCCCAATACACATATAATACATAATATCAATATAAATGTACATATTGCACACATTATATACATTTACATTTATTGTGATATGATATGTACACATGTACATCATGCACACGTGCAGATTTGCGGTATATACACGTGTACATAAGTGTGCACAGTATGTACATATGTACACTACACATATGTTCATATAATGTAGATATGTACCTTCTGTACAGGAGTACACAGTATGTACAATATATACACGTATATACTAGGTACACATATAGGTGTATACCCACTTTGGTAACCGGAGAGATTTCTATCTAATATACTAAATATAAAATCCCAGAATGTAGTCATAGTGTGTACATTTATTGTCGTATTGTGATAAATGTATTAAATAAGCACAATCTGTACATGTACTCTGCTGTACATAGGTGTACACAATGCACATGTACAAAAATGTACATAATCTGTAAAATATGTACCTATATATTTCTATAATGTGTACACAATGCATAGGTACATAATGTGTACACTATGCTCATTCCTTAAAATATCAGTGATAAAATATATATAATCACAGTAAGATATATAATCACACTAATACATATATGTCGTGTAATATCACCAAAAAGTACGTATTGTACACATTAGGTATGTATTAGGTACATATGTATAGTGCACATATTATGAAAATATATATGTATCATGATAACACCGTATGTACATGTATACAAACATGTGCCTACTATTTAAACAATGTACACATGCAGAAATAGGTGCAAACTACATACCTATGCACAGCAGGCTATTACTAAAGTTCTGCTCGTAGCAGCCTCAATGCCCACCCTGGCTGCTTAAAGACCCCCGGCTAGGGGGCTGTACCCACAGCTGCTGGGGCCTGACTATTTTGAAAATGTGGTGTAATATGATACTGGCAACCATATCACACAGAAATGATAATGTTATTGTGGTTCTTTACATATTAGGCAATAGTTCTAGTTACACATTTGACATATTGACAAAAATGTCATCCTCACCCCATTGACATTAGAATTGAAAGCATAGGAGGGTTTCACCCTTTGCAATGTTTAATTCAATATAATTGTTTTCTTGTTTACATTAGTGACCATATCAGAGCACGGTGTACATCTCTTGCAGTATTCAGAATATTTCTCTACGGGCAGCAACATTTCTCTCCTTATCTGGATATTAGGAAGAATATCACAGGACCGGCTTACAGCGCCAGTCACATCGTGAGCAATGTCATCTGTAATCCCCTAGTTATTACGAACAATGTAACGGGGGTCTTGTGTGCTTTTGGAGATATTTGGAGTAATATCCTTTTAGTTTCTGGATATTAGAAACAATACTACAGTGGTGGTGTACACTTCCTGCGATATTAAGAGTATACTCATCCTCTGTCCCTGGGATATTAGGAACTACATCGCAGAAGCGTTGCACTTTGCCTATAATATTGGAACAATCACAGAGTGTACACCTTCTTTCATTGTGAGAGAAATACCTACTTAGGATATGATGGATAATATCACAAAATGGACACACATGGGTATATACCCACTGTGATATTGGAAGTCATTTTTATCTAATATACTAAATGTCATAACCCAGAAAAAACTCATAATGTGTACACTTATTGGGATATTACACTCAATGTACAGAATATTTAACATGTACATTGACTGTGATGTACATACATGTACACAATACAGATGTACAATAAATGTACATAAACTATCATTTGTACGAATATATGTACAAAATGTGCACACAATAGGTATGCACATAATGTGTACAATATGTACATTTATTGTAATATCACAATGTTATATAATCACAACTGCATATAAAATCACAATACACATGTAATATGTAATATCAATATAAATGTACATATTGCAAACATGTACATTTACATTTATTGTGATATGATATGTAAACATGTACATCATGTACCCATTATGTACAGATGCACAATATATGCAAGTGTACATATGTGGGTACAGTATGTACATATGTACACTACACATGTGTACATATAAAGTAGATATGTACCTTCGGTACCCGAGTACATTCTATGCACAATATGTACGCATATAAACTATGTACACACCTGGGTGTACAACCACTTTGGTAACCGGAGAAATTTCTATCTAATATACAAAATATAATAATTCAGAATGTAGTAATAGTGTGTACATTTATTGGCATAGTGCAATAAATGTATAAAATAGGTACAATCTGTACATTTACCCTGCTGTACATATGTGTACACAATGCACATGAACAAAAAATGTACATACTCTGTAAAATATGTACCTACATATTTCTATAATGTGTAAAGAATGTATAGGTACATAATGTGTACACTATGCACATTCCTTAAAATATCAGTGATAAAATATATATAATCAAAATAACGCATATAATCACAGTAATATATATATCATGTAATATCACAAAAAAGTACATATTGTTCACAGTAGGTACGCATTAGGTCTATATGTATTGTGCACATATGTACATATATATTTATCATAACACCATGTGTACACTTATACAAATATGTGTTCATTATTAAAACTATGTACCTGTGCAGAACAGGCTATTACCACAGCCCCCCTCGTAGCAGCCCCAAGGCCCACCCTGGCTGCTTAAAGACCCCCTGGCTAGGGAGCTGTAACCACATTCCCCGCCAGAGGGCCCGTAACAGCTCCCAGGCTGACGCTGGCTGCTTAGGGACCCCCCTGGCTAGGGCGCTGTGCCCGGCTATTTTGAAAATGTGGTGTAATATGATGCTGGCGACCATATCATATGGAAATGATGTTATTTTGGTTTTTGATATACTAGGCAATAGTTCTAGTTACACCTCTGCCATATTGGCAGAAATGTCATCCTGACAGCCCTGGACATTAGAATTGAAATCATAAGGGGGTTTCACCCCTTGCAATGTTAAATTCAATAGAATTGTTTTCTTGTTTACATTAGTGACCATATCAGAGCACAGTGTACTCCTCTTGCCGTATTCAGAGGATTTGCCTATGGGCAGCAACATTATTCTCTCGTTCTCTGGATATTAGGAACAATATCACAGGACCGGCGGACAGCCCCAGTCATATCGTGAGTAATGTCATCTGTAATCCCTTAGTTATTAGAAAAAATATCACGGGGGTCTTGTGTGCTTTATCAGATACTTGGAGTAATATCTTTTCCGTTTTTGGATATTAGACACGATACTACAGTGGTGGTGTACACTTCCTGCGATATTCAGGGTATAATAATCTTTTGTCCCCAGGGTATTAGGTAGTACATTAAAGAAGCCTTGTACTTTGCCTGTGATATTGGAACAATCACAGAGTGAACACTTGCTTTCAAAATGAGAGTAATACCTACTTAAAATATGATGGATAATATCAAAAAATGGACACACATGGGTGTATACCCACTTTGATATAGAAAGAAATTTTTATCTAATATACTAAAAATCATATATCACAATATACTCATAATGTGTACACTTATTGAGATGTTACAATCAATGTGCAGAATACATACCATATGTACATAGAGTGTTATGTACATATGTGTACACAATACAGATATACCAAAAACGTACATAATCTGTACAATATGTGCAATTACAGGTACATAATGTGTACACAATAGGTATGTACGAAATGTGTGCAATATGTACCTTTATTGTAATATTACAATGATATCACAACAGCATATAGAATCACAATACACAAGTAATACATAATATAAATGTACATATTGCACACATCGTGTACATTTACATTTATTGTGGTATCACGGTGTGTACACATGCACATCATGTACCCATTATGTACACATGTACAAAATATGCACATGTACATATGTGTGAACAGTATGTGCATGTGCACACTATGTACACATAAATACATATAATGTTGACATGTACATTTTGTACATGAGTACCTAATATGCACAATATGTACACGTATAAACTATGTACACACCTGGGTGTACCCCTACTTTGGTCAATGGAGTAGTTTCTAATATGGTAAAAATTATATTTTAGAATGTACTCATAATGTGTACATTTATTGGCATATCACAAGAAATGTATAAAATAGGTACAGTCTGTACATTTACTCTGCTGTGCATAGGTGTACACAATACACATGTAGAAAAAGTGTACATAATCTGTAAAATATGTACCTATATATTTCTATATTGTGTACACAATACATAGGTATATAATGTGTACACTATGCACATTCCTTAAAATATTAGTGATAAAATATATTTAATCACAATAAGATATATAATCACAGTAATATATATTGTCTAATATTACAAGAAAGTACATATTGTACACATTAGGTATGCATTAGGTACATATGTATTTTGCACATATTATGTAAATATAAATTTATCGTGATAACTCCATATGTATGCATGTACATATATATGCCCGATATTAAAACTATTTACACATGTAGTAATAGGTGCAAACTATGTACCGATGCACAGCACGCTATTACCAAAGCCCCCCTTATAGCAGCCCCCAGGCCCAGCCTGGTTGCTTAGAGAACCCCTGGCAATTGGGCTGTGCCCACAAACACTGCTCGAATGCCTGTAGCAGCCCCCATGCCCACCCTGGCTGCTTAGGGACCCCCTGACTAGGTGTCTGTGCCCACAGCCCATGCCAGAGTGCCCGTAGCGGCCCCCAGGCCAACCATGGCTGCTCGGGGACCCCTGGCTGGGTCGATGTGCTCACAGACCCCACCAAAAAGCCCAGAGCAGCCCCCAGGCCCACCCGGGCTGCTTAGGGGTCCCCTCGCTTGTGGGCTCTGCCCACAGCTGCTGAGGCCCAGCTATTTTGCAAATCCGGTGTAATATGATACTGGCAACCATATTATATAAAAATGATAATCTTATTCTGTTTTTTTGTATATTAGGCAATAGCTCCAGTTACACCTCTGCCATATTGACAAAAATGTCATCCTCACCCCCATTGACATTAGAATGAAAATCATAGGGGAGTTTCATTCCTTGCAATGCTTAATTCAATGTAATTGTTTTCTCGCTTACATTAGTGACCATATCAAAGCATGGTGTACACCTCTTGCCGTATTAAGAGTATTTCCCTATGGGCAGCAACATTTTCCTCTCCTTCTCTGGATATTAGGAACAATATTCCAGGACCAGGGTACAGCCCCAGTCACGTCGTGGGTAATGTCATCTGTAATTCTCTAGTTATTAGAAACAATATCACGGGGTGCTTGTGTGCTTTCTGAGATATTTGGAGTAATATCCTTTCCGTTTTTGAACATTAGAAACAATACTACAGTGGTGGTGTACACATCCTGCGATATTCAGGGTATGGTCATCCTTTGTCCTCAGGATATTATTAACTACATCACAGACGAGTTTTAGTTTGCCTTGATATTGGAGCAATCCGAGAGTGTAAACCTGCTTTCACAATGAGAGAAACACCTACTCAGGATATGATGGATAATATCACAAAATGGACACACATAAGTGTATACCCACTTTGATATTGAAAGTAATTTTTATCTAACATACTAAAAATCATATCCCAGAATATACTTATAATGTGTACTCTTACTGAAATATTACAAACAATGCACAGAATATGTACCATATGTACGTTGACTGTGATGTACATATGTGTGCAGCATACAGATGTACAATAAATATACATAATCTGTACAATATGTACATTTATGTGTACATAATATGTACACAACAGGTATGTCCATAATGTGTACAATATGTACATTTGTAATATCACAATGATATCAGAACAGCATATACAATCACAATACACATGTAATGCATAATATAAATGTACGTATTTCACACATTATGTACATTACCATTTATTGTGGTATGACGATGTGTTTACATGTAGAGCATGGACCCATTATGTACGGATGTACAATAAATTCAGGTGTAGATATATGTACATAGTATGTACATATGTACACTCTGTACCCATACATACATATAATGTAGATATTTACCTTCTGTACACAAGTACATAATATGCACAGTATGTACATGTACAAAATATGTGCACACATAAGTTTACACCCACTTTGGTAACCAGAGTAATTTCTATCTTATATTCTAAATGTAATATCACAGAACGTACTCATAATGTGTACATTTATTGGCATATCACAATAAATGTATAAAGTAAGTAAGATCTGTACATTTACTCTGTGTACCCAATACACAAGTAAATAAAATGTACATAACCTGTAAAATATGTTTCTTTCTATTTCTATAATCTGTGCACAATGCATAGGTACATAATGTGTATAATATGTACATTTGTAATGTCACAATGATATCATATCACAACAGCATATATAATCACAATAAACGTAATACATAATATAAACGTACATATTGCAAACATGTGTATTTACATTTATTGTGATATGATGTGTACACATGTACATCATGTACCCATTATGTACAGATGTACAATATATGCACGTGTACATATGTGTGCACAGTATGTACCTATGTATGCTGCGTACACCTATGTATATATAATGTAGACATGTACATTCTGTACATGAGTACATAATAAGCACAACATGTACATGTATAAACTATGTGCGCACCTGGGTGTAAACCCACTTTGGTCACCGGTATAATTCCTGTCTAATATGCTAAAAATTATATCCCAGAATGTACTCATGTGTACATTTATTGACATATCACAATAAATGTATAAAATAGGTATAGTCTGTACATTTACTCCGCTGTACATATGTGTACAAAATACACATGTAGAAAAAATGTACATCATCTGTAAAATATGTACCTATTTATTTCTATAATGTGTACACAATGCATAGGTACATAAAGTGTACTCTATGTACATTTCTAAAAATTTCAGTGGTAACATACATATTATCACAATAAGATATATAATCAATAATATGTAGATATCACATAATATCACCAAAAAGTACATATTGTCTATATTAGGTACGTATAAAGTACATATTTATTGTACACATATTATGTACATATGTTTATTGTGATAATATTATATGTACATGTGTACAAATATGTGCCCATTATGTAAACAATCTACACATGTAGAAATAGGTGCAAACTGTGTACCTGTGAAGAGCAGGGTATCCCCACACCTCCCGCCAAAGGGCCTATAGCAGCTTCCAGCCCCACCCTGGCTACGTAGGGACCCCCTGGTTAGGTGGCTGTGCCCATAGCCCCTGCCAGAGTGACAGTAGCAGCCGCCAGGCCCTCCCTGGATGCTGAGAGACCCTCTGGCTATGTGGCTGTTACCACAGCCACCACCAGAGGGCCCGAAGCAGCCCCCAGACAAATCACAAAGGGCCCGTAGCAGCTGCAATGCCCAACCTGGTTGCATAGGGACACCCTCGCTTGGCTGCCATGCCCACAGCTGCTGGGGCCCAGATATTTTGAAAATGTGGTGTAATATGATACTGGCAATCATATCATATGTAAATAATAATTTTATCCTTTTTTATTATATAGTAGGCAATAGCTGTAGTTACACCTCCGCCATTTTGACAAAAATGTCCTCCTCAACCCCTTGAAATTACAAGGAAAATTATAGGGGGGGTTAACACCTTGCAATATTTAATTCAATATAATTGTTTTCTTGTTTACATTAGTGAAAATATCACAGCACGGTGTACTCGTCTTGCCGTATTCAGAGGATTTGCCTATGGGCAGAAACATTCCCCTCTCCTTCTCTGGATATTAGAAACATTATCACAGGACCGGCAAACAGCCGCAGTCATATCGTGAGTAATGTCATCTGTAATCCCCTAGTTATAAAAAACAACATCAAGGGGGTCTTGTGCACTTTATGAGATACTTAGAGTAATGTTAGGATTTGGGTAATTTACATGAGGGAGAATATTGAGTTGGTGTATACACTCCAAAACACAGTAGAAAAGGGCATTGTATATTTTTTCTGACGGATTATATTGAGAGCAATTTTGCTTTTAACATTGGGGTACCTAGATAATATTTAGATTTTTTTCGATTAGCGTAAATTAAGAATTTCAGTATTTTACACAAGAGAGCATATTGAATTGGTGTATATACCCCAAAACAGAGTAGAATAGGGCATTGTATATTATTTCTGACAGAACATATTCAGAGCAAATTTCCTTTTAACATTGGGTTGCCTAGATAATATTTAGATTTTTTACGATTCACGTAAATTTAGAATTTCCATATTTTAAATAATAGAGCATATTGAGTTGGTGTATATACTCCAAAACAGAGTAGAAAAGCGCATTTTATATGTTTTCTGACAGATAATATTAAGAGCAATGTTGCTGTTAACATTGGGGTGCGTAGATAATATTTAGATTTTTTTCGATTTGCGTAAAATTAGAATTTCGGTATTTTACATGAGAGAGCATATTGACTTGGTGTATATACTCCAAAACAAAGTAGAAAAGGGCATTGTATATTTTTTCTGACAGACTATATTCAGAGCAATTTTTTTTTAACATTGGGGCGCCTAGATATTATTTAGATTTTTTTCGATTCACGTAAATTTAGAATTTCGGTATTATACATGAGAGAGAATACTGAGTTGGTGTATAGACCCCAAAACAAAGTAGAATAAGGCATTTTATGTTTTTTCTAACAGACTATATTCAGAGGCATTTTCGTTTAACTTTGGGGCGCCTAGATATTATTTAGATTTTTTTCGATTCACGTAAAATTATAATTTTTGTATTTTCCACGAGAGAGCATATTGAGTTGGTGTATATACAACAAAACAGAGTAGAAAAGGGCATTGTATATTTTTTCTGAGAGATAATATTCAGAGCAATTTTGCTTTTAACATTGGGGTGCCTAGATAATATTTAAATTTTTTTCGAATCACGTCAAATTAGAATTTCTGTATTTCACAAGAGAGAGCATACAGAGTTGGTGTATATACTCCAAAACACAGTAGAATAAGCTATTGTATATTTTTTCTAACAGACTATATTCAGAGCCATTTTCTTTTAACTTTGGGGTGCCTAGATATTATTTAGGTTTTTTTCGATTCACGTAAAATTAGAATTTCGGTATTTTACCTGAGAGAGCATATGCAGTTTGTGTATATACTCCAAAACAGAGTAGAATAGGGCATTGTATATTTTTTCTGACTGATTATATTCAGAGCAATTTTGTTTTTAACATTGGGGTGCCTAGATAATATTTAGATTTTTTCGATTCGAGTAAAATTAGAATTTCTGTATTTTATAGGAGAGAGCATATTGAGTTGGTTTATATACTCCAAACAATAGTAGAATAGGGCATTGTATATTTTATCTGACAGATTATATTCAGAGCAGTTTTGTTTTTAACATTGGGGTGCCTACAGAATATTTAGATTTTTTCGATTCGGGTAATATTAGAATTTCTGTATTTTACATGAGAGCGCAAACTGAGTTATGGTATATACTCCAAAACAGAGTAGAAAAGGGCGTTGTATATTTTTTATGACAGATTAAATTCAGAGCAATTTTGTTTTTAACATTGCGGTGCCTAGATCATATTGAGATTTTTATGATTCGGGTAAAATTAGAATTTCTGTATTTTACATGAGAGAGCACACTGAGTTGGTGTATATACTCGAAAACATAGTAGAATAAGGCATTGTATATTTTTCCTAACAGAATATATTCAGAGCCATTTTCTTTTAACTTTGGGGTGCCTACATATTATTTGGATATTTTTCGATTCGCGTAAAATTAGAATTTCGGTATTTTACCTTAGAGAGCATATTGAGTTGGTTTATATAATCCAAAACAGAGTAGAAAAGGGCATTGTATATTTTTTCTCACAGATTATATTCAGAGCAATTTTGCTTTTAACATTGGCGTGCCTAGATAATATTTAGCTTTTTTTCGATTCGCTTAAATATAGAATTTCTGTATTTTACATGAGAGAGCATATGGAGTTTGTGTATATACTCCAAAACAGAGTAGAATAGGGCATTGTATATTTTTTCTGACTGATTCTATTAAGAGCCATTTTGTTTTTAACATTGGGGTTCCTAGATAATATTTACATTTTTTCGATTCGAGTAAAATTAGAATTTATGTATTTTACATGGGAGAGCATATGGAGTTGGTGTATATACTCCAAAAAAGAGAAGAATAGGGCATTGTATATTTTTTCTGACAGATTATATTCAAAGCAGTTTTGTTTTTAACATTGGGGTGCCTAAAGAATATTTAGATTTTTTTGATTAGGGTAAAATTAGAATTTCTCTATTTTACTTGAGAGCGCAAACTGAGTTGGTGTATATACTCCAAAACAAAGTAGAAAAGGGCATTGTATATTTTTTCTGACAGACTATATTCAGAGCAATTTTGTTTTTAACATTGGGGTGCCTAGATAATATTTAGATTTTTTCGATTCACGTAAATATAGAATTTCAGTATTTTATATGAGAGAGCATATTGAGTTGGTGAAAATACTACAAAACACAGTAGAAAAGAGCATTGTATATTTTTTCTGACAGATTATATTTAGAGCAATTTTGCTTTCAACATTGGGATGCCTAGATAATATTTAGATTTTTTTCGATTCATGTAAAATTAGAATTTCTGTATTTTACATGAGATGGCATACTGAGCTGGTGTATATACTCCAAAACCGAGTAGAATAAGGCATTGTATATTTTTTCTGACAGATTATATTCAGAGCAATTATCTTTTTAACATTGGGGCGCCTAGATATTATTTAGATTTGTTTCGATTCGCTTATATATACAATTTCTGTATTTTACATGAGAGAGCATACTGAGTTGGTGTATATACTTTAAAACAGAGTAGAATAAGGCATTGTATATTTTCTCTAACAGCCTATATTAAGAGCCATTTTCTTTAAATTTTGGGGCGCCTAGATATTATTTAGATTTTTTTCGATTCGCGTAAAATTAGAATTTCGGAATTTTACATGAGAGAGCATATTGAGTTGGTGTATATACTACACAACAAAGTAGAAAATGCAATTGTGTATTTTTTCTGACAGATTATATTCAGATATATTTTGCTATTTACATTGGGGTGCCTAGATAATATTTAGATAGTTTTTGTTTTCCTTAAATATAATATTTCTGTATTTTACATGATAGAGCATACTGAGTTGGTGTATATACTCCAAAACAAAGTAGAATAAGGCATTGTATATTTTTTCTCATAGATTATATTCAGAGCAATTTTGCTTTTAATATTCGCGTGCCAAATAATATTTAGATTTTTTCGATTCACGTAAAATTAGAATTTCGGTATTTTACATGAGAGAGCATACTGAGTTGGTGTATATACTCCAAAATAGAGTAGAATAGGGCATTGTATATTAATTCTGACAGATTATATTCAGAGAAATATTGTTTTTAACATTGGGGTGCCTAGATAATATTTAGAAATATTTCCATTCATGTAAAATGAGAATTTCGGTATTTCACAGGAGAGAGAATACTGAGTTG